AAGCTCTGTCTCGGGGGGGGGGGGGGGGTGGATTGTCGGTTCTTTGAGATATTCTCTGGGGAACAAGACAATTTCTGCATAAGATAGTTCCCTGACGGGGGCAGTGGGCTCCCCACTGATCTCTCATGACTCCCCATAGTCTCCAACTCAAGGGTGCCTCCACACAGCCTGCCTTGTCTCCTCTTCCAGCCAGTGTGCATTGCAGCTTTCAAGACGGCTCGAGCCAGGCCAACCTGTAATGATCCATTCAGCCTTCAGGAGGTAACCTTGCACCTCCAAACTCTGTCTATGCGGGCAGCAACCAGGTGCTTTTCTGAGCTCCACTCCAGCAGAATTAGAGACAGGTCTCTGAGTTTCTACAGTGTAAGCATCCAGCCAGGGGGTGGGGGGTGCCACTCTGCCCACTGCTGGACCACATTCTCTTCCCACATGTGATTTTCTGGAAGCTTCCTTTATTTGGCTTGGGATAGACCAAGGAAGAGAAACTCAGAGTACCAGCTCCCCTCCGAAATTCTGTCTCAGACCTTCTCCTTTCTGCAAAGAGGGTGGCCGAAGGAATGAGGGCTGCAGAGCCCATCCCCCCATCTCCTGGTAAGTCTGTGGCTATGTCTGGCAATGTGCCTACTGGGCCACTTTCCGACCAGGAAACAGGAGGCATGTTTCCTCTCCAGGAGGGGTAACTGGAGAGAATTAAAGAGATTATTTGCAAAGGTGTGGGCAGGGTTCAGGGGACTACAAGAGATTGAGAAACATCTTGAGTGTAATGGGCAAAGGGAGGGAGGTGTTTCTGGAGCCTTACAAGATCTAGGGCTGTCACACAGGTGCCACTGCCTTTATCAGAAGGATTCAGCCACTCTCGTACCATGACGGAGCAGAGAGGAGACAGATGAATAAATACCCTGGCCTCTCTCCTCCTGCCCTCAGATCTCCTGCATGTGCCTCCCATTGGCTGAATTCAGCCCGAATCCCCAGGACAAGGGAGGCCAATAAGTGCTGTCTGTAGAGGTCGGCCTTGCAGGACAGGGGTGGAGAATCGTGCCCGGGGATACACTGGGGAATATCCAGCACACACACCCCCTTCTTCACAATGGGCAGGAACTTGTCACGCACCGTCCTCAGCGGGGAGCCTCAATGAAACAGTAGTGCAAGTCCATTTGTCAGCTAATAACCCATCCCACATGGTCTTCCTCTGCTCCTCTCCGCTAACCGTAAGGCATCTGCACCCCCGTATGGACTGCAGAGCAGGAGTGCAAGGTCTGGGAGCAGGGATGACAGCGCTCATCTTCTGCAAAGAGAGGCTTGGTTCTGAGCTTTCTCAACACCCAGGCAGCCAGTATCCAGACATCAACCGAAAACCGTGTAACCACAGTGCAAAGAAGACATGGGGTGAGCTTGGACCATCTGCCATTTTAGACTCGCCAGGCCACAGGGCCCCGTTGTGAGCACCCATGGTTAAGGGCCGGCCCAGGTTTGCTGGCCGAGGAGCCCTCTGAGAGGCTGCGGTTAGGAGTGGAAAGGGCACAACTGAGACGGAGATGCCCAAGGTGGAGACAGCATTGCAGTCTGACTTTAGGGACACAGGGACGAGGCCCACAGCGTCCTCTCCCTCATCTGCTTCTCTGAGGACTGCTTCAGGCGGCGTCCAGACCGGCTGGCACAGCCTCGCAGGCAGGGCTGTGGGTCAGTGCCAGCCACTGGACTGCTCCAGAGATGTGGCTTCTCCTGACAGCGGGGACTGACTTCAAAAGACTCATTCACCAACGTCTGGGCTCCTGAAGCAGGACAAAGCCCAGCGTTGCCCAGACCAGGATGGGTATGTGCACAGACGCATCCACTCCTTCCTTGTCACACAAACCATCGTGGATCATGCAATTTTCACATTTATCTTTTCCTCTCCACTATAAGGTGGGGGGTGGGGGGGCTGGGGTTTGTGGGGACACATGCTACGAGACGGAGCAGAGGACCCCGGGAAACTCATTCACAGAGACCCTGTTGCTGCGGCAGCTCCCCAGGGGAGATGCTCTAGGGCCTTCTGGGGTCCCAGACCTTGCCCCCGGTGGCCGGAAATGATTGTGTAAGTCAAGCCCACGCTGCAAGCTGCGGTCTGGGATATCCAGGGACTAAGCTTACTGCTAGTTAAAAGCACAGACTTTTCCATCAGACAGAACTCCATTCAAATCTTGGCTTTGCTGCTGCCTTGCTTTGTGACCTTGGGCCAACGAAGACTCAGTTTCCCTACCTGTAAAATGGGAGTGACAAATCGTACAGGGCTGTGCTAAGGATTACACGAGCTAACGTGTTGACTGACTATCACGGTGCCTGGCATACAGCCTGCAGTCAATAAATAGCAGTCATTACAGTTATTGTTGGCTCACTCCCATTGTTCCACGTTGGCCAAATCCCATGCGGTAGCAAGTTTATTTATTCAAAAGCTATTTACTCAGCACCTCCCACATGGCACTGGAAAAAAAGAGATCTCAAGGAGCTCAAAGTCCAGTGCTGGAGACAGAAGAGTGGAGGTAATAGCTGTAATAAGGGATGAAGGCTGTGGGGACACAAAGCCTGGCCCAGGCTAGAATGGTCAGGGAGGTCTTCCTGGAGGAGGCAGCACTCAAATTGAATCTTGTCAGAGAAATGAGGCTTAACCAGGCAGTCACGATGGGAACACTGCTCTAGGCAGAAGCAGTAATGAGCATTGACAAAGGTAACAGAAGAGAGTGGCAGGTTTGGGGTGGCTGAGGGTCAGTGAGGGGAGGAAGTGGAGGCGGGGGAAAGGCAGCGACCCAGAGAGGAAGTCAACACGCTGGAGGGAGGCATCTGCACCACATCGTGGTGGGGCAGGGTGATCCCTCAAAGGATGGTCTGGAGTCTATGTAATCAAATAGTCCTCTTGAACTTCATCAAGACTTTGACTGAGGCACCTGAGGCTGATGCCTGGGGGCTGTGTGATGAGAACCCCAGACCTGGCCCCGCTCCCCTCTTTGCTGCCTGACATCAGACTGTTCCCAGGGAGTCAGCCCTCGGGGGCCCCAGGCAACCACGTCGGCTGCCACCACCGCCTGCCTCACCCTCCAAGCTGCCCCTGTCAGGGCTAATGCCTGAAGGACAGAGGGACCCAGCCGTCACCTTTCTTCCACTTCTTGCAGGAATAGGGGACCAAGCAGAAGCTGTCCAGGTTGCCAGGGGAGTCCTCAGGGCCTCCAGACAGCCCCTCTCTGCTAAGGGCACCCAACTTCGCCAGCCCCCTGTGACTCTGACAATTGTCGTTCCTGGAGGCAATAGCCGAATCCACAATCCAATTATGTGCACGAGGAGGCACCCACGCTTCATTCCCTCTGACCTGCCAGCTGCTGCTCTTCAGGGACAGGTCAGCTGTGTGCTGTCTCTGTGGCTGCAGGGACACGCGGCGCAGGGGCGGCGGGTGGGGGTCGCCCTCCGCGCTCTCTGAAAACGGGATGTCCTCAGCAGTTTTGAAGCTCCAGCCTGTTTCTGCAAGTGACAAGAACTGCCTCCCAGACAGGAAAGCAAAGAAACTTCAATTGAACGGGAGCGGGTAGGCATAGGGATTTGGGGCCACAGTTTTAATCCAAGCCCTGGACGACCTCAGAAAAAGTCATTTGACCTTTGTGGGTCTCAGTTTCCCCACTTGCCTTATGGTCATGACAGAATTACTGGTGGAAATTCATTGTGATAATGAATGTCTATGTTTCTCAAACAAGGAACTCCGGCCCTGGGTTTACATGGCAACACAGTGGCAGATGTACATTTTCCTAAAGCATAAATTTTACCCAAATATTTTAGAGAAAAGGACTCTATTAAACAAAGACCTTCTGGAGACACAAATATCATTCTAATGAATTATAAGGATACAATAGGAGCCATCAGAGCAATTCTTTGTAATGCTAGCAACTCTTTGGCCACAGCCCCAGGTCTGTGGGTCCTGGGTCCTGCTCCCCTGCCCCTGGGGGTGAGTCGGCTGAGCCACCAAGCACAGTGCAGAGAGATGTGCTCTCTCTCTCCTTGACATGAGAGCACAGAACAAGTGCGGACGTGAACCCATTGCCTGGGATGGATCACTCTAGGGTTTGCTTCTTTGTTGCCCGTGAACTTTGCTTCTGACTGTAACCACATCCATTGGGTCCATCTGTCTCATCTTTGATAGAATCATAGAAAAATTGTGAGCAGCAAAGGATGCTTTTCCCCAGACAGTGACTATCCTAGAAGTAACTCAGAGAGGAGAATGGAGGAAACTGGGACAGGCCAGAAGAGGCAGCCAAGGGGAGAGGAGCACCTGCTGGTACACGGGACAGACGGGAGCACCATAAGGACACGGGGATGTGGGATGGGAAGGCCCCGAAGCAGGGGCTAAGGAGCAGCAACATACTGAGAATCTCACCAAGGGTTCAAGACCTGGGGCTGCTGCCGGCCAGGGAGGGAAAATGAACTGCAAAGAGGGTGTGATGGCCCTTCACCAGATACCTAAGCGACCTCTCTAAATCCTTGGCACTGATCTATGCCCGCCACTTTCCTGCAGACCCAGTTTAACCGTGAGTCCTCTGATCATGTCCGTTGATCATGTTCTGCCAGGTTTATGAAAGAGCCAGCTCGGCCGAGCCTTATGACTATTCTGTCTCCTCAAGCTAAATGCTGCTCGGTTTGGGGAGCACAGCAATCTGCTTTCTAGAAGCACATTAGCCTGAGACGTCCAGTTTTTTTCAGCCATGGCCTCTGCAATTGAGGCTATATAAATACAGATTGCATGCAGTTTTAATGAATAACAATGAAGTATATTTAAAAGTATGGATTTTTAGCAGCAATACAAATGTTGAAGGGTGAAAAAACCCCCACACCCCATTTAATTAATTTTATTCCCATCGAAGTGCACGGTTACAGGCCCGGCGTGTGTCATCGATCAGTTTTGATCAAGTGGTGGAGAATATTACTTTTTAATGCCCGAGCCTCTTAGGGGAACAGTGACATGTGTTCATTTCTGCCTCTAGGTTTAAGAAGATGCTTTCCTAGAACTTGCCATTGTCGCAAGATGGGCCTCAGGGCCTCCCACTTGGGTCCACAGTTCTGGAGATACGGAGGAGTCACAGTGACGAGCAAGGACATCTCAGAATGTCCTGCCATTGGACCCCAGGTGATGACCCCCCCCAAACCTAAAAGCACAGCTCATATTCGTCCAAGTCTGTGAATCACTTCTGAAACCATGGCTTTATTTTCGCCCAATAGCTCTGCAATCCTCTAAAATAGGAGACTCTACAGACCTGAGCTGAGCATCGGTGGGAAGGAGCACTTGTCATTTGCCCAATCCTCATGCCCACATTGAGTCTGAATGGCGATACGTCCTAGAATAAATCAGAGGTGCCCCCCCAACTCCCTACAGCCTCAAGTTCTCTGTGTCCAGATTTCCTCGGGGGCGGGGGAAGCAAGGAATTACAGAGCATCCAACCCCGTGGGCCTCTCCGTGCTGAGAAAGCATTTCAGTGAGCTCCTTTGACAAGTGTCTTCCACCCAGCAATGGGCTAGGCACAAGAGTGAAGTAAATAAGCCATCTCGATAACATTCCCCAATACTTTATGCAATAAACCTGTCTCAAAAAGTTCGCAACACAGACGCTTATGATGGTTTAATGCACTTTTGACTTGAATAACTGTTGAAACCTCCCATCTCCCTCTTTTCCAGCAAGTACATCATCAGGGAAAGACCTCCACCTTTCACTTTCCGACATAGCTTCTCGCATTCTTTCCTGATGGGAGCAAGGGCCTTACAGGACTAAGTACGTGAGATCGTTAAGTAGAACGTGTTTAATGAAAAATGTCAGGTGAGCAGCTTGGGGTCAGGCGGGACATAACTGGCCTGGAGTCTCTAAGTTCTTGTAGATGCCCACAGAAAAGAATCCATAAAAAAAGCCCATGTGGCAAAATAAAAATGTATGTAATGTAGATTATACATTTCGGGGGGTGTGGGCACTGCATAAATTTCTTTAAACTCATTCTACATCTTTCAGACACGGGAACCAGCTATATTTTCAATGCCTGGCCCAATCTCACCTAATGCTGAGGCCTCTATGCACTGGACGCTCTGCTGAGAATCTCCTTTTAATCTGCACGCAACGTTCTAGAGTAGGGATCATTATTCCCATTTTATTAATGAATAAATAGAGTCTCAGAAAGGATGAGGGGTTCTGGCTTCAAAAAACTGCATCCTTTGATTTCAAACCTCAGCTGTCCCCTACTACCATCTGACACTGTTACTTTATTTATTTATTTATTTATTTATTTATTTATTTTTAATGTTTACTTATTATTTTTGGGAGAGAGTGCAAGAGGCAGAAGGGCAGAGAGAGAGGAGACAGGCTCTGAGCTGTCAGCACAGAGCCCGACACGGGGCTCGAACTCAAGAACTGCGAGATCATGACCTGAGCCAAAGTCAGACACTTAACCGACTGAGCCACCCCGGTGCCCTCGGGGCTGTTTAGACACAGCCTTGATGAGAAGGTTTTCTCGAACTTCAGTGTGCCTGTGATTTACTTGAGAGGCATGGCTGACCAGTGGTTTTGGGGCGCACACCGCCCGGGAGCCTGGTCTAGTAGCACTGCAGACGAGGGCTGAGTGACTGCATCTTCTAGAAGTGCCCTCGGCAGCTAAGGGGCAGGTGCTGAAACACCACAGTCTGGGCTCCTCAGAGCAGAGAGCTCCCCCCTGCCCTTCTTCTACCTCCGGTCAGACATGCCCCCCACCCCCAGTTCCTCGCAGGATCTTGTGGGCCCATGCTGGAACCCAGAGGCAAGGCCTTCACAGCTTCCCAGGCCTCGCAAGAGTGGCGAAGAAAATAAAGAGCAAACAGAACTCCTCTGCTCCTTCTACATCCAACACCCGGCAGGAGTGACCTTTGCAAGCCTGCCTGTAAAACAGCAGATTCCCGCCCTCTGCTTAATGGGAGCAGGAGTGGCCGGCCCGGCTCTCTCCAGCAAGCTGGGCTGAGGCCATAATCCTCCAAGAAAGAGTTTATGAGTCTGCCTCTGGCATTTAAAATTAATATACTTATTAAGAAGCAGGAGAGTGCTTTCAGGGTAAGTGTCTTTCTTTTTTTTTTTTTTCCTCCCCAGGGTGAAGGCCACTTAGCACAAACTCAAAGTCAGCTGTCTCCATGGGTTTTTGGGGCGTTCAGGGATTAACTATACAGGATGAGCCTGTTTTACACAAGGGCCTGCTGCGTCTTCTCAAGTGGTTTCCGGCTCCTCCCTTTAGGGCTTCAGGGGACAGAAATGCTGAGACTTTCGGGCCCGGACACAGTCTCTTCCAGCTGTAATCTTATTGCTCATGCAGGGACCCAGCCATTCCCCCAGCCGTTCTTCCAGCCAGGCACTCAGTAACCCTCCTTCCTTCCACCCTTTATTTATCTAGCCAGCCGTAGCTTTCATGCTTTCATTCACCAAACATCCATTGAGCACCTTCAGTGTGCCGGGCATCGGGAATACACAGATGAATGCCACACCTCCCTGCTTCTAAGGAGCTTACATTGCAGGAAATCTGCTTCAAAGGCAAAGGGAGACGATATGCTAAAGCAATGATTCAGATTCTGTAAGCTTATCCAACTATTAAACTCGTACTCATCCGTCAAAACCCAATTTAAATATGCCCAGCCTACACAACTGCCCATCCCCACCTCCAAGAGCTATTTCCCCCATGCTCTAACAGCAAGTGGCTATATTCCATGGCTCTATTTCAGGCCCTGTCATTGCTGTTAGTACCTGTTCCCTCTTCCCTAAGAGGGTAGCAACGAGTCTTTCCTAAGTGAATCTCCTGGGCTGAGTGCCTGTCATAGAGAAGGTTAGTGGCTTTTGTGATCCTAAAAACCACTCGGGACTTTCCAGTTCCACTTCTATGCGATATGACTCAGTAGATCTGAGCCCATCGTCCAGGAATTTGCGTGTGTTTTCCTGGTGAGCCTGGTACCACACTTCCATAATAAAATGATGCCAGTGCCTCGGTCAAAGTTTTTTGAATGAATGAAGAAAACCAAGAAATTAAAGGACAACCAAAAAATCTGTGATTTTAATTAGGTCTACGGATTTTACCAATGTGATTTTCCTAGTTTTTTATATTGCATAGAGTTATACCGAATGTAACTATTTAGGGAAGCTGGGTGAAGGCCTTTTTGTAACTTCCTAGGTGAGTCCATAATTTTTTCTAAGCAAAAAAGTTTTTTTTAGCTCTCTTGTTTTTTTCTTTTCTTTTTTAGCTTTTTTAATGTTTTATCTTTTTTGAGAGAGAGAGAGAGAGACAGCGTGAGCAGGGGAGGGTCAGAGGGAGAAGAAGATACAGAATCTGAAGACAGGCTCCAGGCTCTGAGCTAGCTGTCAGCACAGAGCCCGACGCAGAGCCTGAACCCACGAACCGTGAGATCATGACCTGAGCCAAAGTCAGACGCTTAACCGAATGAGCCACCCAGGCGCCCCACTCTTTTCAGACCACCTGCCTCCTGACATCTAACTCCACCCTGTGGAGAACATCAACATCCACAGATGTTGTCTGTTGAGTATAGTTAACTATCTACTTAATTGTTATACAATTAATTCTCTATTATTAATGAAAAGCATTCAGTCTTTGCTCAATTTCTCAATATCCTCCAAAATAATCTGATAAAAAATATTTCCTTGTTAAGTAAGGTATACACTACCATTATTTGGGGAAGTTAGGGACAACTGCTGATATGATATAGATGATTCTCTGTTACAAACCCAGAATCCAGACACTTTGCGTCTTCATGTGCGTGTGGATCCCAGTGGCTCTCAGACTTGACCGTACATTAAACATGGCCCAGGGAGCTTTTAAAAATCCCAGTGCCCAGGCCACACCCCATTCCCATTAAAATAAGAATTTCTAGGGTGGGGACCAGGCCTCAGTATTTTTTAAAGCCCCACGTGATTCCAACCAGGGCCGTGGGCACTGCTGGGGCGTGAGACTGTGAGGGCACCCATGGGCCCCGCTCGTGTAGAGAAACTCTGAGGTTCCTTCTTTTTTTTTTTTTTTAATGTTTTATTTATTTCTAGGAGAGAGAGAGAGACAGCGTGAGCAGGGTAAGGTCAGAGAGAGAGGGAGTCACAGACTGAAACAGGCTCCAGTCTCCGAGCCGGCAGTCAGCACAGAGCCCGACGCGGGGCTCGAACCCACGAACTGCGAGACCATGACCTAAGCGGAAGTCGGACACCCAACCGACCAAGCCACCCAGGCGCCCCTGAGGTTCCTTCTGAACTGCTGCTATATTCAGCTCAGAAAGAGCCACAACACCGTCCAAGGGAGGATGGGCTCTGTGACTTCTCTGCCGTTTGTCATTCCTCAAAGTGGAGGCGGGCGGGACTCATGCTAGCCTTCTGACCGAGGCCTGCGTTTTTGACTAGCTGCTCTCCACAGATGCGGCTGCCTCCTTGTCTGGGTGTCTGAAAAACTCCTTTCAAAGCAGATCAACATTTCACGTGGTTCTGATGACCCTCGGTGGTCCCCACAAGTCCTCCCCCCCACCCCCAGCCTGACTGGCTCATTTACAAAAAGACCCACAGTGTCTGTCCAGGTCAGCAGCTTTTCATGAGCTCTGCCAGGTCCATGCCAGTCTTCGGACAGAGTGGCCGGGGGCCGTCCTCTCTGAGTGTCTTGTGACAGAATGAAAAGCAGCTGGTGCCCAGCTCCAGGGCCAGAGCACCAGGCTGAGGGACTGAGGGGACCTCCTGCAGTCACAGAAAGGATGCAAGACCCCTTTGGGGAGAAGCTATTATCCCTTGATGATGCAGTTCTCTGTGTGCTATTAAGAAGGCTGTTTTCCCAAGCTAGGCCTGGTTCTGCAGGTTGTAGAGCAAGGTCATGGTGCCGGGCACCTGCAGACAGCCATGTTCCTTCTTGGGCCCCCGAGGACTCTCCACTCCTGCTCCATCTCAGGCAGCTGAGGGGGGCCGGAGGGGCCAGGAGGGGTCCCTCACCGACAATCTGCAAGCTGCCACCTTGGACAAGGATTACGTACTTATATCTAGAGATTGCCACTCACTCGGACTGTGCAGCGTGGGGCCCGGAAGCCCTGTCAGAGATGGCCTAGTTACCTAATGGGGCCTGGCTTGCTGACAGCTGGCAAAGGCTTCCAGCTCGCTCTGCTCTCCCCAGAGTCACCTGGAGGCCGCTAAACATCTCAGCTCCGAGGACATCTCCCCTGTCCTTACCCACGCCTGCCTACCCACTCCAGATCCCTCCTCCTTTCCACCCTCCTCCCTCGCTTGGCACGGAGTTGTAGACCGAGCCGGGAGAGAAAGGCCTCACACTGATTTGAACAAAAAAAGTGAACTTTCAGTGGATGAATTGGATGACCCGAACGGCAAAGAAAAAGGCAGCTTGTAATTTTGAGTCTGGCCACTGTAATAGCCCAGCTTTATTTATCCCGTGTCCCA